GGGGGGGGGCGGGCAGGGGGGGTGCACCGTAGGAGGGACACTATAAGTGTAATACTATATAAGTGACGCTGTAGGTTAGGGAGGGAGGCACAAAAATATAAAATACTTTTGTAGCGAGCTAAACGGTAGTATATATGTTTCGTTAGATTAGTACAAATTGTATACAAATCAGGAAACTTTTGCATAAGCCCTTGGGTCCTAGGAATGGTGTAAAAGTTTATGATTTGTACTAACATTTGTACTATTCTAACTCGCGAGCTAAACATGCTCTAAAGTAGGTTTTAGGATAGTAGAGCGCGTAAAAGTAACGTATTTTTAGCCGGAAAAACGTTAGTTTTATATATAAATTTTAGGATCTCTAGTTTATTATCTCTTTAGTAACCTATATAAAGATAACGCTATTCTAAAATAAGATTCCTAAGAGTATAAGATATTATTTCTATTTTATTTAATAAGTATATAATATAAAGCTTTCTTCTAACTCTTATAGTTATTATTTTATAAAGAAGTATATAAGGTAACTTTTAGTATAAAAAGGCTTCTAGGCTATTACTTAAAGTTAGAAACTATACTATAGTAACTATAGAATCCATAAGTAAAAATCTAACTAGGTTCGATAATAATAAGATTTTATACCTTATTAGTAGCTTTTACCTTACTAAAATATAGCTCGTAAAGTTATACCGGATTAGTTAAATTACTAGTAGTAGTAGTTAGAAAATCCGACTTTTTCGGCTATAACTTCTATAGGGAAGGTATTATTATCGAAAATTAATATTAGGAATAAAATAAGAGACTATTAGAATAAGCTATAAAAGTAGATTATAGAGTAAGACTAGCTAAATGTCACGAATCACGTGCAAGCATGTGACAAGTGAAGACCAGGCGGTGTCCTGACAGGTCGAGCACTATCATATCTCTTATAGCAAATAGGGACGCTTAGACTAGCTAAGCGATCCAGGGATTTCATTCCATTCGTATCACGTGACTAGCTGTGCTAGACAGGGCGACCGGTCGCGCGACCGGTCGCGCGGTCTTGCAGCGACAGGGCGACTGGGCTAGCAAGCTAGCACAGGAACATGAAGGTTCTATATAAGACTGGCACGTCTGCCATTAGATAGGAGCTTCGTGCTCAACTTAGTTATCAATCTTATCATATTAGTTTGACATCTTTGATACAAGTAACGAGTTCACTTCCAAGTGAACAACCCGATAGTCTTCTTCTTATCATAGCATACCAACCAGCGAACACCCAGCCAAGTTTAGTTAGCCAGTTTGAGTATTCGTTACACTAAAGGAGTAAGAAGGGAGTCTTATAAGATAACCCTAACCGAGTAGAAGCTACTAGAATACTAGGTATCTACCTAGGTAACTGTAACGAATATGCCAGTCTTATATAGAACCTTCGTTCTCCAAATGTCGTTCTACTCGTTTGACGTGCTGCGACAGCTCGCTCGGTCGCGCTGTCGCGCTTCCATCACGTGACCATGAATGCTATGAAATCCTTGGATACTCAACAACCCTGAGTAACCACTGCTATGGTATAACTACTCTGGTTGTATCTGTCCTGCCAGAACGCCGTTTGGACTAACTCGTCGCATGCTAACACGTGATCCGCGACAGTAACTAAGATAAGGTTAGGTAGTAGAGATAGAAGTCTCGGCTAGCTAAGACTATATTATAATAATTAGTTTTTATTTTCTCTTTAATTTAGAATAGATATTATACCGAGAATAAAAGGTAAAATAAAATAAAGATTACTTAAAGATTTATTATAAGAGTAATACCGCTATTATTTTCATATCTAGCAACTTGTAACGAATACTCAAACTGGCTAACTAAACTTGGCTGGGTGTTCGCTGGTTGGTATGCTATGATAAGAAGAAGACTATCGGGTTGTTCACTTGGAAGTGAACTCGTTACTTGTATCAAAGATGTCAAACTAATATGATAAGATTGATAACTAAGTTGAGCACGAAGCTCCTATCTAAATGGCAGACGTGCCAGTCTTATATAGA